ATCATTTGTAAATTAAAACACTGATTAGTATGAGAAAACAAATTTGCAATTAACTTTCTATGAGCCCCTAGTTAAGACAATGATGTCTTATACGGGCTGTTGTACTTTGGCTTCAACATTAATAATATCATTAATTATTCGCTACGCACGCCCCGCTGTCGTTCCCGCTCTCTAGCCCTTTACTTGCCAGCGGGACTTAAAGATACTGACCGTGGTATTAATTCCTAAGAATAGCGTATCTTTAATATTAAACCAGGAAGGTGATTAAACCACGAACACTATCGTTCAGTTTTAATCCTTCCATTGAGTGTTTATAAATTTTCACCAATAAAAAATCAAGGGTGAGTTGTTTTGTGTTTCGTTTATTCTACCAGACAAAATACAGCACTATCATGAAGTTGTTATTTTAGTATTCTATTCTTTTTTTGATCATTGAAAAGAAAAAAAGAAAAAGAAAAAAATATATAAATAAAAATAAGCTTCTATCGTCCAAAACCCGATTTTTGAATCATTCGGTTGTCGTAACTCAAATATTCTTAGTTTTCCTATTTTAATTAAGAGGCAACGCCTCCAGAAATTTCTAAGTTAATATCGGATAATGTTGACAACCTGTCATTTAATTTGATTCTACAAAAATATATAAATAAAAATAAGCTTCTATCGTCCAAAACCTGATTTTTGAATCATTCGGTCGTAAGTAAAATATTCTTAGTTTTCCTATTTTAATTAAGAGGCAACGCCTCCGGAAATTTCTAAGTTAATATCGGATAATGTTGACAACCTGTCATTTAATTTGATTCTACAAATCCCTATAAAAGAGATTCATTGAGATAACTCAGTTAGTTAAGTTAACAGCAAAGTTGCAGTTGTAGAGTTGCTTGGACTTCCAACAAAGACTCAACCAGCAAATCACCCCGTAATATTTGCATGCATCCATAATAACTGCTATTGGTTAATTATCTAAAGAATCAACCAATTGGAATACCGCGTCTTTGTCATGTGATGGACAGTCAACAAGACTTTCGATTGGCCTTGTATTCGTCAGTTGATATCCAATGTCAAGCAAGTGGTTACTTTGTTACGAGACTATTTGAGTTTATTTTCGGCAATACGTTGAACTCCAGCAACGAACTCGTGCTAATAAATCAAAATGGGTGACAATTCGACAGCGCACTTAACAAACCTCAGCTCGCMAGACGTCTGTCGTTTCTTAGAACCTTCGACAGTAAATACTGCCAGCAAAATACTATCGTACACTTTGATAATGGTCGTTGGACTTGTCRGTAATGTGGTTTTGTGTATGGTGGTATACAAAAACAAGAATCTAAGAAAACCTATCGACTACTTGATTGTGAATATCGCTGTATCAGACCTCGCAATTCCAATTCTCGCAATACCTAGGAATATCTCTGCACTTATGACGGGGTCCGACGTATGGGGAGTTTCGGGAGCGTTTGGAGATTTCCTCTGCAAGTTTGTCTTCTTCTTATGTGATATTTGCCCAGTTGTGTCGATTATATCACTTGTTTTTCTCACTACATCACGGTTTGTAGCCGTCGTTTTCCCATTTCAAGCCTCAACAGCTTCGAGTAAACTCAAGCCAAGGTATTTCATAGCTTCGACATGGATTATAGCCGTTTTATTTTTCTCTCCTTACTTCTACATCTTACATCTTGATCAAGATCGTCGATGTACACTCAAGTGGGGACCATATTTAGATGATGTTGCCGCAAGTAAGGTTTTCAATACGATAATCATAACGATTTTTTTACTAATTCCTTTTGTGCTGACTGCTATAATGTATGCGGTCATATTACGCAAGCTCAAAAAACGCTCRAAAAGAATTCCAAACCAAAACGAGAACGCGAGAAAAAAGCGTGAAAAATCTACACGTAACATGACGWTGCTCTCGTTTTTCATTGTCCTGGCGTTCGGCTTGTGTTGGGGACCTTATTTTTCACTTTTAATTCTTGAGGATTTCTTTCCATATTTGAGAGAATCTTTAACACAATGTCAGTGGATAACATTCCTTTTTGTGGCACAATACCTGGCTTATTCTAACACCGCAGTCAATCCCCTGCTTTGCTTGGTATTCATTAAAAATTACAGACAAGGATTAAGAAAACTCCCATTTTACTCGTACAGAAATCTTGAAGAGCGATACTTAAATCCGTCTAAAGCTTTGCATTGTACTCGTGAAAAACTTATGCCACGACCCACGATGTATTGCACATCGGTTTAAGATTAATTAAAAGTAGTCTCTAGTATTCATTTGGTGAGCAGACAAGAAATGATATAATTCAATAACGTAAGATATTTGTAGGGAAAATTTCGCAGCGGTTAAGTAACAAAATGAATAAACAAACAATTTACAAATAATAATAACTACAATAGTATTAAGAGGAATTAATATTGAATCAAAAGAATTTTAAATTAAGGGGAAAAAAAAAAGAAAGAAAAAAAAAAAAAAATTAAAGAAAAAATAATAAAATAAAACGAATTCCTTTAATTCGTTTAGCAACCACACCAAATTGAATAACAAGTTTGCTTGAGGACATAAAAAATTGCTWAATTAAAGATGTTCTTTAACATAAGAAAACAATAGTTTGGGAGAAATTGACAGCCTAATTGCTTTCAAACAAAGAGCCTAAAGCAAACGAAAAAAGAAAGGAGTTAAAAAAGATCATTAAAATTTGTGTAATTGTTTCCATGCGGCTGAAAAAGTTGAAGCTTCTMGTAATCGTATTCTTAGAAATGCTTTTCAAACGACCCATCAAGAACTGCCAATGAATTTACGATTTTCATGCGTAGGACGTTTCTTAAAGCGTGACTTTTCTGCATCAGCTGGCAACACTGGTAGAAGTCATTATCAGAATTATGATGAGGCTTAAGTGTTTGGATATAAGTAATGGAAAGATAATTGAATGAATATGTATACAGGATGAATGTCGGGGAGGAAGGGATCCATAAATAGAACGGAAGAAAAAAGAAGGGAAAGAAGAAAAATTTTAGAAWTTTTTAAGTATTCAATCTATTTTTTTTATTTTTTTGGCAGCAACTCATCCTGTTAATAGGGTACCGAAGTGATGACGTCAAAAATTCTTTTAAAAGACTTTCAGGATTTTTTAACATTTTAACATTTTATTTTAACATATTAACTCTCTGTGTTCGCTCCAAGAGCTAAGCTCATCGTGGGAGATTACACAGAACATAATTACGATTTTTTTGGAGTTTTTAGGAAAAAGAAAAAGAAAAATAAGTTTAACATATTAGTAAGAAAAAAAACCAACATATATTTAGAATAGTACAATGGAGATTCCATAGTGGGAGATTACGCGTAACATATTAGAAAAAAACATATATATATATAGAAAAAGTACAATGGAAAAGAAAATATATCTACAAAATCAATAATTAAACGTTCTTTACTATGTACAAATCTTTTGGTGTCTATCAAATATTGTTGGAAACTCAAGAACAGTTTTTGATTTTGCTTAAAAGTTAAATGTGGAGAACCACGCAGAAATAAGTTTACTTTATCAGACTCTGAAGTAAGTTGTTGGAAAAGCTGTGAGGAAAACGAAAGCAGATTTTAGGATTTTGGTGACATTATCAGGAACTGCATGCAAAAATATCGTGCAATATTTCTGAGCGATAGAGCGAAAAACGGCTGAGATATAGGTAATTCAATACGAAAATATCCCCATACATTTGGATTCAGTCCAAAATAACAGAAAATGTGTGGTCTTTTTGGAGCTTACTATACCCTATATATCGATTTCTAAAGCCAGGAACAGCTTTAAAGTTGGCAGAAATGTAGGCAATGGTGTGCTCTCTTATAAATATGAACATTTCAAAACTGAATTGCAAAATCTGTAATTTGATGACGTCACWCTTCGGTACTCTAATGKCARTAACYCWTYCCACSGGGTACTATTTTTGGTGTGACATATATATTCATACATATTCATGAAACAGCCAGGGATAGCGGAACACTTACTTAAAGTGGGGGACTAATCTCTGTCGTATTTCTTCATAACGGAACTCAAACTAATAAGAGAAAATAATGTCATTGTCGTAAAAAGAGCCCCCGCCCCCGGCTTCACCGTGGGAAGCCATTTCGATGTCTGCATTTAATACCGTTAAGTTGACCCATCTCATACGAAAACCATTGTTATAATGGGAAGCCATTTCAATGTCTGTATTTCATACCGTTAAGTTGACCCATTTCATACGAAAACTATTGTTATAATGGGAAGCCATTTCAGTGTCTGTATTTCATACCGTTAAGTTGACCCATTTCATACGAAAACTATTGTTATAATGGGAAGCCATTTCAATGTCTGTATTTCATACCGTTAAGTTGACCCATTTTCATACGAAAACTGTTGTTATAATGGGAAGCAATTTCAATGTCTGTATTTCATACCGTTAACTACCATCTCGCATGCTTGAAAACCATTGTCATAATGGGAAGCCATTTCAATGTTTGCATTTCAAACCGTTAATTTTACCATCTCGCATGCATGAAATCCATTGTTATAATGGAAAGCCATTTCAATGTCTGTATTTCAAACCGTTAATTTTACCATCTCGCATGCATGAAAACCATTGTTATAATGGAAAGCCATTTCAATGTCTGTATTTCTTCATACCGTTAAGTTACCAACTCGTATGTG